TAGGGATATGCTGAGAAGCAGGAATAGGAAGCCGAACAAATGGCTCAGGGAACAAGGATGGGAAATCAAGTGATGGAGCATCCGGTAAGCCAAGATGCGGGAGTGGTGATAACAAGCTGGAGGAGGCAGATAACAAGGAAGAAAGAGGTGGAAGCAAAGGTGTCTGTATTGATGAGAAGGGTACTTCTCGAGACTCTGTTGAAGGGTATTGGGATCCACTTAGGGGACGCCAGCAATAGTATGGTGAGAGGGCGGGTGAGTTTAGAGAAGGTAGTGGCAGTGTTGAGCTTTGAAGTGATGCAGCAAGACTTGAAGGCCCCACAGGAGGAGTTTCAATTTCGGCAGGTGACTTGCCATTTTCAGGTTTTGAATTTGCGGAGTCAATGGACGATGGCAATCGTACTACCAGATTGTCGAGTGCTGACAAGCTGCTATCTACATGGCGTCTTAGCTTCTCCCGTCTCAAAGAAGAAGACAAGCAGCTTCTGCTTGGACCATCCTTGAAGGAACCTGACCGTGGACTGAGGCTTCCTTGATAATGGCTGTTGCTGGACTTTGGCGGCTGCCCACTACCAAGGTGTCTGGAACGCTGCTGGGGCTTCAATGACTGGGAACTTGTAGAAACTGAAGATGAGTCATCCATAGTGCAGGTGAACGGGGCAGCAGCCGTACATTCTTTGCTGCTATGTCCCATGAGATATGACCGAATGTGGTTTGCGAAGCAATCGAGGCGCCAGTTGCTAATTCCAGTTAATTCTGCTATGGAAGGCTTCCTCTTCAGAATATCTTTCATCTGTTAATCAGAAAAGCAAACACAAAATTTGTTGTTAGCAACTAGCATCATAACAAAACAACAGCAGTATTTACAAGTTTACCAACAATGTTGATATATCGAGTCTGAAATCTATACTAACATCTCTTGACTAAAACTCTACAAGCTTAAGGCAAGATTGTTCATTAATAGGAGTCATTCAGCTGAGAATTGGTACATCCATCTGCATACCTTGGCAATTAATTCGACTCCCAACAGTTTTGATTTTTCAGCACACCAATAGTAAAAATCTGTACCGCCAGCAACTTTTATTTGGAAAGACCGGCCTGAACTGTCTGCTGGGATTTCTTCAACCAAGATAGCTGAAGCATGTGATTCACCACTTAGGGTAAATATTCTTTCAGTGCTACCATCATCCCCAATGAACGAGAGTCGCAAATAAGACGTTGGCAAGACTGCAAGACTCAAATTCCCTCTGGAAATGAGGGGGGAAATAGAAGAATGTATCAAACAGTGAAATTACAAGCGAAAAATAAATACAGCAAGAGTAACAGGAGCAAGGCCACTCCTAGAACACACAGAAGACAGCCGTCTTGGACCTAACGGACTATAAGAGAGTGGTGTGCACCATTATGGTACACATGAAACGCCAAGATACCTTAAGAAAAGCAAATCCAGCCTTTTTCCTCTTTTACTCTCACCAAAAAAAGAACAGATGAAATAGTGAATTGCCGGTAGAAGAAAGCTTTTATGGAGAAAAACATTCCCAAATCAGAACACTATTTTGTGGTCTAGGCTCAAATCCATGATTCACATGCACGACTGTATAGAAGCCGGAGATTATGATCTCCAAGATGAAGTTTTAAAATTTCAACATCCGGCAGGATGCACATATAAATTAATAAGCTCACCAACAATCCTGGAAGAGAGCCAAAGCCATAAAATTCCATTTTTGTTTCCGCAAAGTAATTTTGCATTGTTTTGGAAAGAACGAAAAAAAGATTGCATTACGAAGAACGTATAAATGTACGGATTGCACTTGAGACTATCCACTGAATTCTTGCACAGACTAAAACATGTTAATCAACAAACAGAAATTACACTAAATCAAATCACAGCAGAACACACCAAGAAAAGAAAACAACCAACCATCAGGAACAGTTCTCTATGAAAATAATGAATTTCAAATTCACATTCAATTCACTCATATTGTTTTGTTAACAATCAGTAAGGCAGGAAAGGCCATATAATTATTTAACATAGGAGATGAAACTACCTTTACTTCCTCATTATTCAGAGATCATTAACACGCCCACTTTACCTACAAGTGAAAAGATATTTTACTTGGAAGCATGAACAATTTCACCACATATAACATTAAACAGACAGTCCTGAAATTGCTACAGTTGATATGAGTTAGAATGCATAAATTTCACACTACTTCCAACAGTAACATCAAGTTAAGGCAAACAAAAGGAAATCCTCACATCACTTCTGCAAAGCGTCTGTTAAAGAAAAAATATCGACAGATAGGATAGAGGAAATAACGCAATCGCAATTCTATAGAAAAACAGCACAGTAAGGCAATGGGAGGCATGCGCTGACAGAAAATTTCTAGGCATCTTTATCAAATATCAAAACCATAAGTGAAAATTCTAGATAAGCCATCAACACTTGAAATCACATTTACAAATGAGACACAATAAGCCATGCTAGGGTATCAAGTGACTAAGGCAGTATCTCTTATCTACAAACAATAAACAACTAGAAGATGCACTGATTTATAAGAATAAAATCTAGTCATAGCAGGATCCAATCACTCAGCCCATCACACAAGTAATGAACCTCATGACTGCCAAGCATCACAAACTTATGAAGTGCAAATACAAAGGCCAGGTTTCAATTAATGACCTGCATCGGAAGTTGGAACTACTAAGAAATGCAGTATGAAAAAACATATCCCTGTTATATGTTTGTACGTCAAGAAATGCATATATACATATGAACTTACAGGTTAACTGTTAAGAAAATTGATATTCTCCTTAAGATCAGAACAATAGTATACCGAATGGTCTAAATTGGCGGCCTGCAGATGAATATTGAAGGCACGTTTGATGTAAATCAATACAAGTAATGCACTTCATAATATATGATACACTAACAAACAATTTGATAGAGAAGAGTGCAATGAATCCCTACTCTATCAGTAATTCACAGATGGGAACACATCAATATAGCTCAATTAACATATGAAAAGAATCCAAAGTATAGAATTAATAATTGGACGATTAACCTGATAACAGACTACATAATCAGAGTTAATAAGGAAGCACCGCCAAACTTGGCCTTAGACCTAAACTGCTTCATTATATAACCATAATGGCAATGGACACGGTAAACACAACCAAATTGGAACGGATCGTCGTCCCAGACAGAGGTGCCGAAAGAACAGCTTCAGCTTATAATCACAGCCTCTCTAGAACCCTAACCTTCAAATAATATCCCATATGCAGACACCACATCCACATTTAGCATCAAGCAAGCAAGCAGACATCCATGGGAATAAAATTACCTTGCAGCTGTAGGGTAGAATAGGTTCCCTTGCTTGTCAATCTTCCCAACCCTGATCGAAACAAGGGGTATGCAAAAGCACCTCGCAAGCATGCTGACCTCCATGGCGTCAAAGTGCTGTCACGTAGGTAAAATCAAATCGTCAATTCCCAATTCCAACACAACGAAACCACGAAATGACATCCTTCCGCTGCTGTCAAATTCCAATCAATACTACCTGACTCAGATGCGCCAGAAGCCTATCCTCGGCAACGCCACTCGAAGCATTCGATTTCAACAGCGGCTTCAACCTCTCATCAGCGCGACAAGCGCCCACAACCTGCATATCGAGCGCCTGTAGCCACCGCAGTACCCCATCCTCACGATCACTTCGTTGAAGCAGCAAATCCCCGTCCCCTTCGTCCACAAGAATCTCCGTCAACCGCTCCGTCAGGCCAACCTCGCTTCTCCCCCGCGAAACCGCATCAGATCCAGCTGCAGATGCCTCGACGCCACTGGAAATGGACGAAGACGAGTTTGATGACTCGTCGAACTCGTCTCCGGCGGAAAGTTCATCATCGCATTCTCGACTCCTCGAATTAGACATCTCGTGGAGTGGATTTGTTACAATCGAACCAATCGAAGACGGAATTCGAAACCGAAACCCTAGGAATCGAACACAATTCTCGGTCCCAGGGGCTATAAATCCAAAAGAAGTAGCAGTTTCAGATGGGAAGGCGGAGGATCGATTTGACAGCGGCCGGAGACGACGACGATGAGCGCAAATCTGCAAACGGAGGGATACGCAGATGCCTTTCAAAAAAATGAAATGAAACAAGAGACGATAGGATGCGAAATCTGTTTATATAGTAGTCCTGATGGACGCGAAGGCGATTATGAATTTAAAGCTTTCGTCTAAAAATGGTTTCGAGTCCGGAGGCACCAATTTGCTTGCATATTCCACGTCAACGGGGCAAGCTGGTGGTGGGCCCCATCACCACGTCACGGGAAGAGCCGACTTTTCCTCCGGATTGGGCCGTGGACCGAACGCCGGCCCCAGTTGGGCAGGATGTGCTAACGTACGCTGAGGGTGCACCATGAACTGAAGTGGGTAAAGAAAAGGTAGGTAAAAAGCATCCGTACCGTATGGAGCAATTATAGAGCGGTACCATTTCTAGGGTTCGTTACATTTGGCAGATTTGATGAGGTCACACATAGCATTGTTGAAAGCTCCCTCTTATATGGGCAGGATTGATTCTTGTTTTTAAACATTGTTGATAAAATTGTATCGTATCGACAATCAGACCGAAAAAAAATTCAATTGATATGCAGATAGTACAAAATAGTTGAATTAGAATTAAGCAGCGAATCAGGGTAGAACACCCAGCGACTAACTTTTCCGGTACACATCATTGTTTTTACCACTCGAATTTCCATAATTGACGGTTAGACTATGTTTACCATATATAGGCAACAAAGTCCTTTACGTCTCTTCATTAATCATGCCACTCCACCGGCAGGAATGAATTTCTGACCATATATAGTAAGCGAGAGCGACAGGCGCTGGAATTGGGTGTAGAGTGGGCACTGCAAGTGAATAGAATTATTGGTGCGAGGAGATGGTCACTCTGTGAGACGGCGACAGTGAGGCCCGGGAGTGCTTAACGGGACCGATAGGGACAGACGGGCCCAGCATTGGGCCCGCCAATTCAGCGACACAAATATCTTCCTTCATGTGGGCCCTTTCCACAACGACTCGATATCATGGCGCTGACTTCTTGTAGTTGGATTACACCTGTCGTCACTCATGAGTCCTGAGTCATGACACAGTACTGAGAAGTTGGGCTAGCTCATAATATAAAAACATAAAAGAATCCACATCACTTATATAAGTTGAAGGCCCAAGCCCAACACAAAAGACCTCCGATAATTGAACTCAAATGTTAGGAGCAGAGTTTTCACCTACAAGGCTGCAACTGCAAGCAACCAAAACGACTACCAATTTGGATCATGCAGCACTAAAGAGGGCATTCATTCGAGATGGCGCGAGAAAACGATTCTCAAGACAGAACTGCTTCAGCTGAGAGTAACAATGGATGGTCCAAACAGATAATTCAAAGTCTATTTCGTCCTCTAGGCTTGAAAGTTGTAGTTCTAAAGCAGAGCATGATACCGCTGGAGCTAATGTATGCTTTTTCACTTAGGTCATCAAAGTAATCAGATTTTAAAAAGATCATCACTTGCTCTTCTTTGCTTCCCCCGAGTACTGGTCTAATAGGGAGTTCACATCCTTCCAGAATAGGCCTTCCACCAGAACTCCATCCTTTGTGAACCTGCAAAATGAGGGTCAGATACAACATTATGATTGTGCAGTGCACTGTGCTTCCCGAAGATCCAAAGCTATGGCCTATGAGGCAGAGTACATAGGTGCAAAGGTTAGAGAGAGAGAGAGAGAGAGAGAGAGAGAGAGAGAGCAGAGACGTACCATTTTGTAACACTTTTAGTCAAGTCCACTGTCTTCCCAGCAGAAATCGACTTTGGATCAGCACTTGCTATAGTAAGTGTGTAGTCGTCAGCGAATCTTGGTAATTTCGAAGTGATCATCAAACCAGTACTTGTGTAAGATCCCTACACAAAGAGAAGTAGCATCAGCTTCAATCTAAGTTCAATTTCGTATCATATAGTGTCTAAGATTACTACACTTTCGGGTTGCATTCCAAACATTCAAATCAGCAACCTAATATACATTGTCAGTCCAATGTGCACGTTTCTTCCACAACAACAATGTTTAAGCGATCTTGTCTAGCCAACCTACGACTGCAGTTTTCTATAACAACGCAGTTTGAAGTTAATTGTCTGAAAGATGAATACACTAAAATTAAGTTTAATTCAAGTTACTGCTTCAAAGGACTCACTGCACCTAGTAAAGTGCAGAACTAAAGCAAAACTATTGGTTAAAGGATGTATAGCCTAAACCCAAGAAAGATGTCCACATCGGGCGTAATTTTTCACAAAGAATCATATATCTAATCCAACACTGTATTGATCCATAAGCACTTTGGCAAACAGCAAGACGCAGAATCCTACCACAGGGAAATCAATCACCAGTCTCGACCAACTGCCAATAACAAAAGTACAACAAAAGGGCACAAGATACCAAACTCCCTATAGAATCCTAAGTAACACAAGACAATTAAGCAATGAGAAACTAGGTTGACTACGTACTTCAAGGAGTACAAAAAGTAGAGCTAAAAAGACAATAACTGTTCACAGAAACGCAGCAGATGGGGAAAGAGCTAAAGGATAGCTCCACAGAGAAGTAAAGCTAGATGTAGAATTGAAAGTGTTGTGTGCATCTACTAATACATGGAAGACAACAAAATACAGAAGCATAAAGGCCAGCTAAACATTTCAAAGCCATCTAATGCAATCAACCAAACCATACTTCGGAACATAAGCTCTGATTGCAAACAATTCAACACAAGTACCAATCTCTAATACCAGAAAGAAGAAAGATTTACCTGAGGAGGGTAAGTGAACAAGATGGCGTTCTTTTCCTTCACGAATATGATCAGCTGCAACACCACGTTGAGGACTATATACTTGCCCTAGTCAAGGATCCAACAACTTAGCCATCCAAAACAAACCAGGAATTCAATTCCCAAGACTCAAGAGAGTTGGAACATATACACAGGAATGACACATGAAGTACAATTCTACGATTAAAATCAGACGACACAAAATTTTGAGGCGAAATCAGCTACTGAATCTTTAGATCAAACGAAAAAAGGATATAATACGATGCAACCGATCAAAAAGTCTCTATTCTCGGGGAACTTCTTCTTGTAAAACTGAGCCACGAGAGCGACGGCAATAATGACAGTCCCCAGCAACAACCTGACATTGCTCATCCTGACATCTTCAGCGTATCCACGACTCGCAACGATCTACAGAATTCACCCCCAACGGGGACGAGAACGGAAGATTAACATCGGGTCAGGAATTCAGGAGCAATGGAAATCCAACTGAGCGGATTATTAGGGTTTTGTTTCTCACCTCGGAGACGGATTCGTCGAGAATGTGCTTGATCGAGTGGTGATCTAGAAGATTGGCCTTCTTCTGGTTCTTGTTCGCCGTCGGCTCTGAATTCTTCTCCATGATAGCCGCTGGTTGTTCTAAGTTCTAACTGAGGGTTTTTCGTTTGGAGGATTTGGGAGCAGCCTTCTCAGCGCTGTTGTTTTGTTACTCTTAGTCGAATGGTAAAATGGTGGTCAATGATCCGGCATCCGGAATCCGCTGTTGTTGTCCGGTGTTCTAACGGAAGCGACGTCGTTTGCCGCGGGCAAAACTTTTTCTATTATAGCCGGCAATTAGTTCAGCCAACGTGGCATCACCTCATTGGCCAATACTCGTCACTGAAAAAAATTAAACGGTAAAAAACAACAAGCTAATGCAATTGATAGGTCATGTTTACTTTCATTTCTGTTTCCTGTTTTTGAGAAAACAGATGTTGAAAACAGGTGAAAACAACATTTTGTCGTTTCCGAAAATAGCAGGAAGTTGCCACTTTCTGTTTTCATAGTTGGAAACGAATAGAAAACAGAATGAGAAGTAAACAAGTTTTCTCGTTTCGGTTGCCAAATTTATGACATGAAAACAGAAAACAGGAAACGAAAATGGAAGTGAACAGGGCCTTAGTGTTTTTTCTTGACAATATCTATTTTTTATTTAAATTTTTTCAAAATTCTTTTATTTTACCCAAACCTATCAAAATTCTATTTATTATCCAAACTTATTATAATTGATCAAAGTCTGGGCATTCGTTCTGTCATCGTTATTTATTTCGTAACGGAACTCCACGTATGCATCCATGTCAGCGTCCACTCAGAAATGAAAAAAAATCTCTTATATCACTAAAGAAAATAATTAGAAATTTAAAACTCCAGTAGCTCTGCAACTCCATCGCTTATTCTTCCTCTATTCTCCGCATCAGCCTCCACACCACAAAACTTATTTCCATTAAACTAACCCCAACGCCCAACCCCACACGTCGCCGCCCAAGCCCGTCGTCGAAACTGGAAATCCAGATCTATGAATCGGTAGAACAAAAAATCAAAAGATGGGTTTTGGGGAATCGAGTTCGATGATGGGTTGGGCGCCAGAAGGGAGCAGAGATCGTGAGGATTGCTTGGACTGACGCTGACACTGGTGCTGGTGCAAGAGGATTGGAGGAAGATGAAGAGGAGTCGGCAGCCTTCTCTGATTGGGCTTCCGATTCCGACAACGGCGACGAGGGGTTTCCCCATATGCCCCAGCAACGACGGCGACGCCCAAATTGATGAGAAAGAGGGCGGGTGGAGGGTTCGCTGCAACTGAAGAGGGTTGCGAAGAAAGAGATTGGAGGAGTGGGTAGGAGTGAGAGGCAGAGGGGGAAGTAGTGAGAGGGGAGGGGAGAAGACGTGAGGGGTGGGATCCTTTTTTGTTTTTATTAATTTTTTGATAATTTTTTATTAAACATAGTAAATGATAGTATTCTGACTGCAACATGGGTAGCCAACTCATTATGGTCATGTTTAGTCAACATTATTAACAGAAAAGTTGACGGAGAGTTAACGTTTGGATAATTATTAGGAATTCAATAAGTTTGGATAAAATAAAAGAATTTTGAAAAGGTTTCGGTAAAAAATAGGCATTGCCCTTGTTTTTTTTATCCTAAATTCTATCTGAATCATATAAAAGTAAGCATCTCGACTATCAAGGAATGATGATCCTTGTCAACGTGAAAATCAGTTACGAAATTGTTCCGTGTGATAAATATATGTAAAAAGAGCATGGGTAAATGCCACATTTGATCACTGAGATTGTCAGATCATGTCATGTTTAGTCCCTAGAAAAAATTAATATCAATTTTGGTCACTCGAATTACTGAAACATGACACATTTAGGTCTCGTTTGCTAATAGGATTTGGATGTTGTATTTGGTCTCCAAATACACTAGAACAGGACCCGACCCACTGACCGAAAGAATTTTGTCGAGAAATATGATATATAATAGGGTTAATATTTTCGTATGGCCTGAACTTTGACCAAAATAAACATCCTGGCCAATCTTTTCGATCTATAACATCTTGGCCCGAACTATACACCAAAATAAACAATTTGGCCAGATCCGACTTTTGACCGTTAACTTGGACGGTCAAACGCGTTGACCGTTAGTCAACGCGCCATGTCACTGGCAACTCAGCAAGTTTAAATTAAAAAAAAAAATTACACCTATTCCATTTTATTTCCTTTATCATTTTGACGGAAAAAAAAACAATTTTCTTCTCCAAAACGCACAACCCCCTGCCCTAAACCCCATTCTTCCCCTTCTTCGTCTCGTCTCCTCTCCTCTCAACGCTTTCGCAGCCTGCCTCGCCGACTTCCGGACCCACCTCCCCGCCACGATGCTCGTTCGATCTAAGCTACGTCCTCACAATCCCATGAGACACATCTCTCTGCGAGCAAACCGACGGCCGCCACTGCTGCCAGACCTTACTCAGCCTCTTCGGCATCGGAATCGCCCAACACCTCCGCGATACCTCCCTCTTCCAGCTCCCCGCCGCCAACGCCTCCACCGCCTGCCTCGCCGACTTCCGAACCCACCTCGCCGCCATCTCAATCGACCCTTCTTTCGTCCCTCTCTTCTTCAATGACCCCAATCAGTTCGTCTCCAACGCTTCCAGCTGCGTCGGGGTCATCACCACCGCCGATTGGATCCAGCGGGTCGGCCCTCTCACCCCGCTCGATTCCGCCTGTAGGGCCGACGTCTCCGGCCTCACCTGCTGCAGCTCTTGTATTGGGGATAATCGGTGGTGTTGTTGGTATTGTCGTTGCTGCGTTGTTGTTTGTGGTTTTGTGTCGAAAAAGGAAGAAGAGGAAGCACGCTGAGGCTTCCCATGAGGAATTCGTCACCAGATTTGGAAATCTGTTGTGCTGCCGAATTCCGGGGCGAAGTGGTTTCACTCGGTGGAGCTTGAGAAGGCCACAAATGGGTTCTCGGCTAGTGAAGGAATTTCCTGGGGGAAAGGGGCTTATGGTGTTGTCTACAAAGGAGAGGAGACGAGACGAAGAAGGGGAAGAATGGGGTTTAGGGCAGGGGGTCGTGCAAGAAAATTGTTTTTTTTTCCGTCAAAATGATAAAGGAAATAAAATGGAATAGGTGTAAATTATTTTTTTTTTTAATTTAAACTTGCTGAGTTGGCAGTGACGTGGCGCGTTGACTAACGGTCAATGCGTTTGACCGTCCAAGTTAACGGTCAAAAGTCGGATTTGGCCAAATTGTTTATTTTGGTGTATAGTTCGGGCCATGATGTTATAGATCGAAAAGATTGGCCAGGATGTTTATTTTGGTCAAAGTTCAGGCCATACGAAAATATTAACCCTATATAATAATAGATATATAATAGAGGATTTGAAATGCACAAAATGATTGTTTTATAACTTAGTTATGCACATAACATTTTTGAAAGTGATCCAACTATGCATAATGTGTTTAAAACTCCATGAAAAGAGAAAATATAATATAAGCATTACTTATAATTATTGAATGAAAAAAATATAACTAATTGTCATCTATTACTTGATTTGATTTGAAATATATAAGACATGATGCTAAATTGTAGCTAATAGTTGGTTGGACAATGTGTTGTATATGGATTTTCAAAATTATTCTCTGATAGCAGACATGTCTAGCAACAATGTACTAGTTTTCATGCAGCAAATATTTTTTTATTAAATAATTCAATAAATAAAAAACTTATGAAAATCATATTACATGAAATATATAGTACTCATTAAGTTGATGAATGAGCGAGGATATAAGTAACATACATTTATTTTAAAATATAGAAGTTGCAAAGTATCTTTTGGGTTGAATGAGATCGCATATTCTCATTATCACTAACTGACTTATGCTGTTTTGCAATAGATTGTTCAAAATGTGCCTTAAAACTTTTGTTCCCACCAGTGTAAAAGAATTATTTGAACCAAATTATTACAATGGTATAAAAAAATTTGGTAGCAGAGTATTTTATACTGAAATCATAATTTAACTGTGGTTCAACCGTTTCATATTGCTAAATATCACCTATTGATTTAGCCTATGGTGTGAAGTTTTACGGTCGAACCGCCAGTACATAAGATCTTTCAATTCAAACTTGAAATAAAAAAAAATCACTAAAATATTGACATGATCAAATACCCTTAAATCTAATAAATTACCATAATCGTATTAAGAAAAAAAATCATCCAAATGATAATAGCGATTTAGGATTTTATGGGGTCATTTGGAAGTTGCGATTGTTAAATAGATATTTTGTTGTGAATGCATGTATAATATTATATATGTATTGTCGGATTAGATGCATTGTGTATGTCACATAAGCTAAAAGCTGAGACAAAACAATCTCAACTCAACTATCTCAACGATCACAACTAAAAGTTGAGATTTAACAATCACTTATTCTGATTGATAGTTTCGGTCACATCACAGATGTAATCCATGTATTGGTTCTACTAAAAAATATAAAAAATTATGCATTCTAAACAATATATGTATAGTAACAATCTCAACAAAACAATCGCGACTTTCAAACGACCTCTTAAGTGAAATGGAAAAAAGCTATCAAATATAATGTCATCTCCTAAAATCAATCAAAACTCAACAAGGCCAAGAATACCCACTAAGCAAAGCAGAAGTGCAATTATTTCACACTACCTCATTTTCCCCCTCGTTTAATTTAAATATGTCCTCTCACTCTCTTTTATGCCTCGTTCACTTGCTATTTTGTTTTCTGTTTTCTGGTGTGACAAAAAAAAAACAAATGGTAAGAAATGTGTTCACTTGCAATTTCATTATCGTTGGAAAAAATCGTGGGGAATAAAAGAGGCAGTTTGGCGGAAACAATAAAACATCGTTTGCTGGAAAATGAGACACAGATTTCCCCCAGTTACCCATTGGGTTATGCCCCCATTCCTTTTAATGAACCCAACGTTCGAATCTCTCGGCCACTTTTTTTTCCTCCTTTTGTTCACTTAGACCAACAACGTCGTTTTGCTAACCCCAGCTCTCATCGTTCTTCTCCCAGCCTCCCCCAAACTCGACCTCCCCATCGAATGAAGCTGCTACAGTTCGCCTCTTCTTCCTCTAGCGGAGGGAGAGAAGGTCGATCCGGCGAACTCCTTCTCTAGTCGGCGAAGGACGGGTTTGCTTTGAAATGCCAGCATGTATTACCCTTCAACCGCTAAGTTAATCATTCTCAAGGGCTTAGATCCTTGAGGTCATATCAACAGAGGTGTGGATTAGGCTGGATGAGACAGTGATGGCTACACTTGCCCAGCGGGTCCTCGATAATCCTCTTTGTTTTCCCATTTGTTCTTCCATCTCTCTCTCTCTCTCCCTCTCTCTCTCTCCCTCTCTCTAAGCTTTGTTCTCACCACTCTCCCCTGTCCTTCCTCTTTCTTCCCACCGCCTGGAATTGAGAAAACCTAGAAACATCCCAATTACTTATCCAATTTTGCGTTCGAAATCCTTCTTCTCCATTCACAATCGATTGTGTGAATCAGAGGACTTGAAACCTGGCGAACAAATGACCGCTTATTCCTCTCAAATGACGCATTTCTCCATAAAACATGAGTGCACCAATATAGACTATGTGGTGCTCGCACTTGCGCGCGACCGCTTGAAGTTTAAGCCAGGTACGACCCATGAAGCATTCATACTTGTATAGGGCCGATCCATATACATTGTCTTCATGGTGTGCTCTAACTGTGTCATGCTAGCTCGATCATGTGCCTGCGTATAGTTACATGCATTCTAATAATTAAGTTTTTACCTATTCGCAACACCAAGATAAAAAACAATCATAAATGCACCCAATATTTGATTTTGACTACATGATAAAATACTACATTTGAACCAACTACCACCGATGCCACAAATAATAAGTATATCTCTAAATCATACATAAAAATATTTCAAACGTCACAAATATTAAGATTAAATTAATTATTATAAAGAGTAAAAATTGTATAATGAGGTTAATTATAACTCATTTATATGTTAACGCCCTTAAATTGATCAACACATCCAAAAATGGCTAAATGAACATCACATTAAACCCAATATCGTCTCATTATTGTCGAATCCATTCACGCCAGATTAGTAAGAGGTTTAATGTTTAGCAATTAACCAGGCTAAAATTTTAGAGAACCAGTCACCTATAGTTTGTACAAAATATTATTGCTTCGTAGTAGTTCTAAAAATTTATATTAATTAAAGAATTCTACATCTATGTTGCATATTCAATACTGCAATTCTATATGAAATAGTTCAAGCATTGAAATTTGTGTTGCAATTTTAAAATTACCCGTCATTTTATAGGTTATAAAAAAATTATAAATCACGTATTAAACTTACTTTAGGGCGACAAATAGTGATTCAGCAACTCAATAGACCTATCATGTAATGAATCAACGTTTGATCTCAAACATGTAAACGGTAAACAAGAATGAAGATTTTGTGTTTTTTAGAAAACTCAATTATTGTTTTGTTTTCCAAAATAGATTGGACATGGAATAAAAAAATTAATTATTTATGGTTCAGTGCTTAACAAGTAATGGAATCGCTCGTGTCATCTCATAAAATGATTCAATCTATTTCATTAAAAAAATCATAAAAAGTTATTAAATTCAAGTTAGTATTGGGTGACGATAGATAATAGGCAACGTAAAGCCAACAACGTAAAGAAGAAGAGGAAGAAAAACAAGTTTTTTTGTGTGGTTAAAATAGTGCCTAGTCAATAAGAATTCATTGCAAATGAACAGAATAACTACTGTAACTATTTTGCCTGTTTTACTAGTGAATTGCTAGTTCAGTTCAATTGGGATTATTAAAGATACACAAGTTCTAAGGCTGACTTCAATGGGCACCCCATTTATGGAGGAATATGTAAAAATGAAGGAGGAGATAGTCCAATTGGGAGGATTGGGTCTCAAAAATGGAGGATCCTGCAAATGGAACCCCAAATTTGGGGTTGGAGATGGGGATACCCAAATATAGAGACTCCCCAAAGCCCGCCACGTGGCTTTTTTTTTTCTTTTTAAGATTTTATGGGTTAATTGGGGGTTTAATTAGGAATTTAATTAGATCAATAATTTTCAAGTGTTGTGTGTAAACCCAAATTAGGAACATAATTTTTTTTCAAAAGAATTCAGACTCGGAATTTAACAAAATTCTATCGAAAAATTTGTATTTAAAAATGATGACGAACTATACAAAAATTAACATGAATAAATTATATTAAGGCTACGATAAATACATTTATCATTTTTAAGTAAATGGAAAAACTAGAAAAATGAAAATCCCCAAATATGAAAATTGAAGCATTGGAGCAAAAGAAGGAAAAATGGGGATCAATCAATAAATTTGGGAGGTTTTGCATTGGACTTGGCCTAATTAATACCAAACCGCTTGCAGATTACAGCACTTTTAAACCATAGCAGCCAAGCTGTTTGAGCGTCAACAGTAATGACAAATAAAACAATCTCAAGGTATATCTTTATTATCAAATTTCGAAAGCCTAACAATTGGGTGTATGGATTTTGATTCAGGAAAACCATAACATGAAGAGATTGCAGGAGGGAATGTAATAAAGTGGAGCTGTTAAGGATGCTTTGATTTCAGTGCTTTACTTGCAGCACCTCCGGTGAGTACGAAACGGGCCCCCTTGACGAGTTCTTCCTTCACCATGAACAACACAGCAGCCGCTAACACGCTCTGACAGATCTTCGTGCTCATACCTTTGTAAAAACCATGGAAACCTTCATAGCGGATCATCTTCAGGATAGCATCTACCGTACCTGAATGCGAGAGAAGGGCAGAACAAAGATTCAATCAAGTTGGAATGTTCTTTGCTTGCAGAGGGTTTCAACTGCTAAAACAATATGACTCATGCAAACTTAAGAATATAACTCAAGCAATGCAGAATCCTTCAAACCTTTATAGTGATGCTTTTTATCTCCGGTGGTAACTTGTTTAGCTTGAAGACGTGACTGCAAAAAACAATCAATTCCCAACTTAGAAGATGTCCGAAGATGAATATAAATTAAACATATATATTTCTCGATACAACAATGGATTATGCCGTTGCAACATATTACGAGGTTTGATCTTCGCTGCCTAATACTCCAGTAAATAGTTCTTTCCTGACTTCTTAATATTTCGAACCATGGATCTTGTCCAAAAAGAATATATTCAAACACAGAAACACTGGTGTCAGATGATATGTGCATACACGGAGTTAGCTCATTTCATTTTTACCTTAACAACAAGAAGAGGATAGGTTACGACAGTAGCTCCCAGTTTAGCCAATGCTCCGAAAAGAAATGTCTATGAAAATCAGACAGAAGCAGAGATACTGTTACTGTGCTGTCCATGCAATCAATACAAAGCGGGTGAGGGGAAAAGCAACCCGAGAAAGAGATCAAAGCCTCAAGCTATATATGCAACGCAAACCTCCGCAGCAGTTACTCCATTTCCACCCTTGTTAAGCAACACACGTCGTTGTTTCAACTTCTTTAGCAGGGTTTCATATATCATGAATTGTATTGCAGGATTGCTCACCTGATAAACAAGACATAGGATAATCATTGATAATCCATCCCGATCAGATTCAAGAGTGTACAGTAACGTACCATGATTAGTGTTGGTAATACACCTTTCCAGAAACCTGGAATACCAGCTTCATCAATGATTTCTTGAATCTGCAGGAATGAGAAAAACTACTAAAGGCCACAAAGAACACAAGAACCACAGCACGTACAATTTTTTTATTTATTCAAATAGCAACAAGGCTGATGATGAGCAAAATAAATGTACAAACCGCATTAAAAGTTCCAAATGGAGGAGGATCAGTTGGAACTATAAGCTTAGCTGAAGCATCTGATGAGCTACTAGGTTCTGATTTCTTTGCAGCCTTTCTGTGAGTCTGTAGAGCAGAAGTGATTCAGACTATAGAAGTAACAAGAGTAACAAAGTATAATCACTAGGCGGGCGACAATTCAATATAGGGCAAAATAAACAAGCATTCATGGATCTGTGTGTAACAGGATGGCTTCTCGGGACACGTTAGATAAGAATACAAGTCAAGTAAGAATTCGAGAAGTTGAATGAAACATTGCATCATTTTATAAAAGATAAATAAAGCTAAGATGTAAGACTAGAGAGTCTATTTGATTTCATAGATAAACTAGAAACTCTTGTGTTTACCTGCATTCGTGTAACAACCACCCAGATAGGGTTGGTCATCAACACATTAACGGACCTGCACATAATGATCAAACCCAAAGGATTAAATTGCATATAATAGTGAGAAAATAAAACTCAACAAGAATATTGTTTTTAAGGTATAAAAACTGAAATGTCCATAAAAACATTACAATGACTTGAAGCCAGTTGAACCGACAAACAAAAGCAAATTACCCAGCTAATGCAGCCACCACAAGTGATGAAAACATCCCAATGGATCCATCACCAAAACCTTTCCTCTGACGTTTAAGTGCCTTAGCTTGAGCTCTGTCCCTAAATATTTGATAGAAATAATAATAGACACCCTGAAGCATGAAACACACGCATATAAGCAATCCCAACTGAAGAAGCAACAGCAAGTTAATGGGTTAAATAACAAGTTATATTGAAACAAAAATTATCCAAGATTCAAACCACTAACTAAGCAAGAATCAGAAAAGATCATTTTAGGCTTGGGAACCACTGAGCAAAATGCACCAGGACAGTCTACATTAAGATTTTTACAATGAAAATAAGACATCATGGGCATGCTACCTTCTGCAATAATAGACGACAGTGAACACCAAGTGCCATTGGAAACAATATTAACGGCAAATATGAAACGGGATCAGCATCAGCCACTCCAAACACAGTCAATTGCACTGTTGACAGCACCAGCATAAATTTTGAGGTAGAAAGCGAGACATCAGTTCACACTTATCAACTACTTGTACCACAACAACTCATGCATCATGAAACATAATCAGCATCAGCCACTCCAAACACTGTCAATTGTACTGTTGACAGCACCAGCATAAAATTCGATGCAGAAAGCACGGCATCAGTTCACACTTATCAACTACTTGTACCACAACAACTCATGCATCATGAAACGTAATCAGTATCGGCCACTCCAAACACATTCATTGCACTGTTCACAGCACCAGCCAAAATTTCGATGTAGAAAGCACGACATCAGTTCACACTTATCAACTATTTGTACCACAACAACTCATGCATCATTTCCACTGGAACTTTCAACCTCCTTATCAACGACTCATCTGCATAACTAAACAATACAATGGCATAAAACAGAACAACTAATGAATTGCCTCCCTATCACTAGTAAGCTGGAAAGCAGAATTCTCACCTGGGATGCAGCAGTTCCTACAATTGATGGAGTTAATCCTCCGTACAGTCGCCCCCATCCTTCATGCCTCACAACCTACATAACCCTCCAAACAGACCAAAATAAGACTAAAGAGACCAATACATGGCCACTTTATCTTCCTATTCCAGTCAACGCCGGATCCAAATTCACAACACGAAAACAGAAACCACGAACGAGTCCAAACCCTAAAATTCTCCGGAAATCAGAAGGAAAGGAATTGGCTTAACAAAAATGGCTTAGAATTGAGAAGGAATTCCAACCTGGCACATTTGCTGTATGGTGCCGACAGTCTTCTTCTGTTGTTCCTTCTGCACGCCCCGCTCCGTTTGCTGCCGAGTATTTACCTGGAGAAGAGACATTTTACCATTAACCGATTAAGCTGGCAATTCCGGCCGAACAGGGATGGATGGCGGAGGAGGAAAAGGAGTAATCAGGATGGCGTACGGTTTGAAGAGGATAAGTGATGAGCTGAGCGATGATTCCACCGCCTGCCCCGGCGAGGCCATTGATGAGAGCGTCAGACATGGCCGGAATTTCGCTGAACCCAACTCTTTCGATTTTGTAACCGAAACCTTTGTATAATTGCTGTTGCCCGTTTGGGGCCCTTCTTCCCTGGAAAGCGGAAGAATGACAGAGATGCGGGAGCAAGGAAGGAAGGAAGAAGGAGAGAAGAGGGATGGAGTCCTGGATAGAAGTGAGACTAATCTCTGACTTTACCTACATCACACATGCCGAAGTGATCGGAAGGGAAGGGGGCGCATTCTTTGTACCGCTAGCCAGATTCGCCATTTTCTCAATCTGATATTTTTGTTTTCCTTTCGGAAAATTTTCTTCCTCTCTCTGTGTTTCACTTTTACGGTTTACCCCTCCGTTCCGTTTGGTTTGGTGTACTAATTGGTAGGGCTGGGCATGCGGGCGGATCATCCGCGGGTTTGGGTCGACCCACCCGCATTTGACCCGAATTTCGTTAAGTGGGTGGGTTTATGGGTGGGTGACGGGTTGCGCTGGGAGCCATCCACCGGGTGGTGGGTGGGTTGTGGGTGGGTGCGCGGGTGACCCGCTCAACCCAACAGCAAAAAGATCAAAGTCGTCGGCGCTAGAGAGGGGAGAGTGGAGACGTTAGACATAAACTAGGACTGCTCCTGGAATTTAAACCTCAAAGCCAACCTTCCAAATAGCGATCCCCTCTTCTTCCCTTTATTTTTTCCTCTAATTCTTGTGCCTAAATCACTGCTCTTTCCTTTGTGGAATTATTTTTCTTAGTTCCTTGCACCTGATAATCATCTCAATTTGTAGAAAACTCTTTCATCATAGAATTTCTATCCATTTTAAGAACTAATTCGACATTTTTCGTCCTATTTCATCTTCTTGTTTCCCCATATAACTCTCTTCGCCTATTATCATGTCAAGTTGACTCTTTTATATTATATACATTGTGATGTGGGTGAACCCACAAACCCACCCAAATCATCCACCATCCGCCCGACCCAACCCGAGACTAAATGTGGGTGGGTGGTGGGTTAAAAATTATCAATCCGTTTAAACGCGGTTGAGTGCATTTTATGGTCAAAACCCACCCAACCCACCCAATGCCCACCCCTACTAATTGGGTAGGCAGGTAGTTGACGAGGAGAGCATTTGTCGTATCTATTTTTTAATTAATTAATTTATGGATATTGCCATGTTGGGCTGTGTTGGCCGTTGAGAAAGTCCAATTAGGACTTCTAAAAAATCTCACATATGAAGAATACAAGCCTACGTAGATAAACTCAGGGGCCGCAGCCCATTAAAAAGGAGACTATTGTATGAGCCCAGCCCAAAAGAGAATGGAAACCAGAAGGCAACTTTCCTTCATCACAAACAATTCGAGGATGAGGTTTTGTATCATGATTATTCATGCCCAAAGAAACATGTAACTTTTAACACCAGCATGGTTGGTGCCTCATTGTTTAATTACGAAATCAGGATTCACTCCATTCATGTTAATGGAAATAGAGTATACTATGCTACTAGACATTTACTATGTTGCACTATTATTTGTTGCAAGAAATTGATCAGTTTTATAGGCAATAGTATGATACATCGATAATATTAAGGTTAAAGAAGACGCGGTGACAAAACGTCTCACCTAGATCTTAGGCAGACAATTAGTAATTCATAATGCCTATACAACTATCATACGAAGTTAGGCACGATTAATTGGCAGGTAGGGGTGGCAGTTCGGTTATAACCGATAACCGATCGACTGGTTATCAATTAACCGAAATAACCACCCCTCCTACCGAAAACTCATCGAAATAGGTTTCGATTTCTCGGTTCTCTCGGTTATCGGTTAACCGAACCACTTTTAAGTCCACAAATCATTTCAAGCCTCCGATAACCAACCAAAGTTAGGTTACTTCGGTTACCAGTTAGTGAATAATCCGGCCGGTTATCGGTTTAACTGGCCGGTTAACCGGTAATCCATAACCGAACTGCCACCCTATTGGCACGAGTTGTGGTGAATCGAAGTGAGATACTCTAAAACACGCTGACAGGCCAATGATTAAGAAAATTTGTATTTAATCTTTCCGAAATGACTTCTTAGGTTATTCTCGAGCTCCGTCGATCCCATCCTCTACGATACTCTTCACCATCTTAAATATAGGAATCATAACATATTTTGCTTGTTGGTGAGTGTTAGCTAAGTTATTAATCATTTTACATTTAACTAAATTAAAAAATCTTACAAAGTTGATATTTCAACTAAAATCGATATTTTTACTTAAAACGCCTAGGCGCCTTTTATGCAGAGTCCCAACACATGCCTAGCGCCTTCTTAAATCTTGGATAATATGCAAAATCATGATAACGAAAATAATCACGAGATTGAAAATATATTACCACACAAGATACAAAGTTTGAAAAAAAAACATGCACAATTACTAGACTCAAGGCTCCTCAAATAAATGTCAATTCATGAGCTTGAAATTTGCATAGACCAGCCATATAATGCGCTTTTAAGATAACGATTTATATTGGGGTTCATAAAGAGTTGAACATGTAACCTCAAATACAAACCAGTAATTCAAATTATCTAGAGAGACTCATATACGATATTTAACCACTTCCTTATCGATTGAATCTCAACTCATCAACAAATATTGACCCAAGAGGCCTCCTCTCCACCACACGTGCTTCCACGATCTCAACATTTTCAATTCTTTTATAAGCTTGGTCTCCTGGTCTTTTCGAATTGTGGGGCAGTCGCACTCGCTCTTATGGGGGCACCGGCGGCCCGCTACTGTGTGAGGATCTTGCTTTATTAATCTGGCGAAATGGAAGAGAACAGAAGAAGGGGAGAAGGAGTTACAGGGAAATGGCTATCTATTGCTATCGTCTAAGAGAGTCTAACAGAATGAGAATTGGTCAAAGATGGTTACAAGAGGAATCAACTCTTCTATTTATACATTATCAAACTGTCTCCTGCTTAGCTGGCAATCCTCTGTACTCTGTAGTAGCCTGGACCTTACAAATCCCCCCTCTTCAAATTCAGCTTGTCCTCAAGCTGGAAACGCAGGAAAACGAGCCTTGAATGACTGCAAGTCTTCCCAAGTGGCATTAGCAGGAGATTGATGCGTCCAGTGTACCAGAATCTGAGTCACGGCACGGTTCTGCTCCTCCACAAAGCGGCGGGCAAGGATGGTCTCTGGTGCCAACTTTGGTGTGCCATGATCAGCCACTGCAGGCAGCTCAGTCGCAGCAGGTGGAACGATGAGCAAGCAACATTTCAGCTGAGAAACGTGAAACACCGGGTGGATTTTGGATGACCTCGGAAGCTCCAATTCATAAGCCACTTCCCCCCGCCGAGCCAAAACCTTATAAGGACCAAAATAACGAGGTCCAAGCTTGCTGCCCTGCCTCCCCACTACGGAGCCTTGTCTGTATGGTTGAAGGCGTAGATAGACAAAATCACCCACTTTGAAGACACGCTCCGACCTGCGTTTATCTGCAAACTGTTTCTGCCTATTCTGTGCTAAGGTCAGAGTATGCTTTAAGAATGCAACTTGATGATGATAGGCCTGAAGACGTTCTTCCACCGCCCCGACTGAAGAAGAAGAACTGAAGAGACCAAAGTGATCCGGAGGGAAGCCATAGAGAGCCTCAAAAGGAGAGAGTTGGATACTCACATAGTAGTGCGTGTTATAACACCACTCTGCCAATGTCAACCAGTAGATCCAATCTTGAGGCTTGTGAAAGGTCATACACCAAAGATAATCTTCAAGACAACGATTCACCCGCTCCGTTTGTCCATCCGTTTGTGGATGGTATGTCGAGAAATGGAGATCAGTATTCTGCAGCCTGAAGAATTCTGTCCAAAAGCCCCCAGTAAAGGTAGAGTCACGGTCCGACACAATGGTGGCAGGCATACCATGATGCTTGAAGACACCATCAAAGAAAGTCTGAGCAACTTCAGCAGCTGAATAAGGATGTTGCAGAGGAAAGAAATGGGCGAACTTAGTAAAACGGTCAACCACCAACAGCAGGACATCCTTCTCTTTTGATTGCGGCAGCCCTTCAACAAAATCTAAGCTGATATCCTTCTAAGCTCTATCGGGAATGGGCAGAGGCTGCAAGAATCCTGGAGAAGCCACTGTCTCTGCCTTGCACCTTTGAAACACATCACACTTCCCAATCCATGCCGCAATGTCATTCCTCATACCCTTCCAAAAAAAAATATGACCTCAACTTTGGTAAGTCCCCTGCACTCCGGAGTGACCCCCTACTGGTGATGAATGAAACAACCTCATCAATTTCTGGCGCATGAAACCATTGGCTCCCACAACTACCTTGCGTTGAACCTTAAAACCCCCTGCGAATATGACCATAACTGTGGTCCTGTATTCTGAGAAGCAGCAGCAACAATGTGATGAGAGAGCTCCAAGTCACCTTCATAAGTTGCTTCAATATCAACTAACCACTCAGGAAGAACGGTAGAAAGAGCATTGCAGTCACCCAATTCCACCTGGTCGTCAAACACCCTAGAGAGTGCATCTGCTGCCCCGTTATACTTCCCTCGACGATATTTGATGTGAAATTCCAGCCACATGAGTTTGATTAAACCCTTCTTTTGTATTGCCGTATGTACCTTCTGTCAAAGCATGTACTTTAAACTCTCATGATCAGTAATAATCTCAAATGGCATGCCTTCTAAGTAGTGTCGCCAATGATCCACAGCCATTAATACCGCCAAATAATCCTGCTCGTACGTACTGCGCCCTTGATTTCTGATCCCCAAAGCTTTGCTAAAATATGCCAATGGATGGCCCTGCTGAGATAACACAGCACCCACTCCCGTACCACAAGCATCAGTCTCCAAGGTAAAGGGCAAGTCGAAATTGGGTAAGGCTAGAACTGGGGCTGAACTCAATGTCCTCTTTAATGCTATGAAAGCTTCTTCAGCAGCTTGGGACCAGACAAAACCATTCTTCTTCAATAACTCTGTCAACGGCCGACATTGTTTCGTAATTACGCACAAATTTCCTGTAATATCCTGTAAGACCCAGAAATCCACGGAGAGACTTGACAGACTTTGGTCGCGGCCAATCTATCATAGCTGCAATCTTCCTCCTATCAGTAGCCACACCTCCTTCCCCGATAGTGTGACCCAGATATTCAACTTGCGGTTGCCCAAATGAACATTTAGAGAGTTTAGCAAATAACCTGTTGTCTCGCAACAGCTGCAGAGCAATGGAGAGATGTTGTAGATGGAGCTCTGGAGAGGCGCTATAGACCAGAATATCGTAAAAAAAAAAAAAACGAGAATGAACTTCCTGAGATACGGACCAAACACCTTGTTCATCAGAGCTTGAAACGTCGCAGGTGCGTTCGTCAACCCAAACGGCATCACCCGAAATTCATAGTGACCTTGGTGAGTGCGGAATGCCGTTTTATACTGATCTTCTGGCTTCATACGGATTTGATGATAACCAGATCGCAAATCCAGCTTGGAGAACCGACGAGCCCCATGGAGTTCGTCGATCAAATCTTCAATAATGGGTATGGGAAACTTGTCCTTCACCGTAGTCTCGTTTAACTCCCTGTAATCCACACAAAACCTCCACGTACCATCCTTCTTGCCAATCAATAAAACAGGAGAAGCATATGGGCTATGGCTGTCCTGTATGAACTCAGATTGCAACATTTCAGCAACCATCTTCTCGGCTATTTCTTTGTGGTGGTGAGGGAATCTGTAGGGACGAATGTTTACGGGTTTGGAATTTGGTTTAAGAGGGATGGCATGGTCTAGAGCTCTCGGTGGAGGGAGAGAAGATGGAATGGAGAAGACATCTGAGAAATTGTCGAGTAAGGGTTGAAGAAAGGGTGGAGAAGGAGAGGGATCCAACGCTGGTTCTAAGCAGAAGAGCATTCCGGTGAGCTGCGTAACTTTCTTCTTCATCAGCTGCTTAAAGGAGCGGCCCTTCATCACTCGACAATGGGCTTCATCCGTCAAACCTTGTAGAGTAATATTTCGGCCTTGCCACTCAAAAGAGAGACGACGTTGCTTCAAGTCCAGCTGGATTGGGCTCTCAGATTCCAGCCAATCCCAGCCCAAAATGAGGTCTTGATCCCTTAATTCCAGAGTCCGTACATCGAAGGCGAATTCCTTGCCCTACATCTTCCAGCGGAAACCCTCGCAAACTGAATCGCTGATGATCGGAGCACCCGTTGCGCCTTTAACTCGCATCGGCGGCGCCGCCGTCAACTTGCACTTCGATTCAGCAGCCTTGGCGGAGCGGATGAAGGTATGGCTGCTACCAGTATCGATCAACACCGACAAATCAACTTGTCCAGCCCTCGCCTGCATTTGGAAAGAGTTCCCTGCGCGACCATTGCCGATTGATTGGAGCGAAACCTCCAACTCTGGACCCGTGGAGTTGAGATCCACAACCTCATCGTCGCTACCAGTGGAATCAACCTCTGCTTCCATCAATTGAAGATGTTGTTTCCTTTTCGCACACACATGACCATAGAAGTACTTATCACCGCATTTGTAACAGAGGCCTTGACCCCGCGGCACGGAAGATCGATCCAAGGCAACTATGGACGAGGACTGAGAATCCGGCTTCTTGCTCGTGGACGCTGGAACCGCCTCCGGCCAACGCGAAGGAAGGTGCGATTTCTTCTTCCTGGCTTCAATCGCAGCCTCTTGCAAACGAGCCTGATAGAAGGCGAAGCCGAGAGTGATAGGATGCAGCACTTGGACCAAGGGTTGGATCTCGGCATCTAAACCGCCAATGAAACTCATGATGAAGTATTGTTCACCAAGATCCGGATTGAGACGGAGCATTCGCGATTTGAGGTTCTCGAACTCCTCCTGATAGCGAGCCACAGATCCTGTTTGACGGAGATGATTGAACGCGGCGACGACGTTGAGCTGATCGTGATCGCCGAAGTGATGAAGGAGCTCCTCCACAAAAGCTCCCCACTCCAATGGATGACGACGATAAGACCAACCGTCATACCAGGTGTGAGCTCGACCTTCCAAAAAGAAAGATACGAGCTCGACCTTCTGATCATCTGGAATGGAATAGAGGGAGTAGAGCTTGCTGCATTTGGTCACCCACACATGTGGATTGGTGCCGGAGAAATAGGAGAAATCGAGTCGGGGATAGCGATCGGCGATCGTCTGCCTGCGCTGGTACGATTCGCCCGGGTCCGTTGAAGAAGAAGCACGAACCGGCGAAGATTGGCTGAGCTTTTGCACAGACGCCGAAAGAGCAGCGATGTCATCCTCCATCCGTTGAGTAGATGAATCAATCTTCTGGTGGACGGTCATCATCTGTTCTTCCATCTCCGAGAGACGAGAATTTTGTGTTGCCATGGCCAGATTTGGGGCTCTGATACCACTTGTGAGGATCTTGCTTTATTAATCTGGCGAAATGGAAGAGAACAAAAGAAGGGGAGAAGGAGTTTCAGGGAAATGGCTATCTATTGCTATCGTCTAAGAGAGTCTAACAGAATGAGAATTGGTCAAAGATGGTTACAAGAGGAATCAACTCTTCTATTTATACATTCTCAAACTGTCTCCTGCTTAGTTGGCAATCCTCTGTACTCTGTAGTAGCCTGGACCTTACATACTGGCAACCGGAAACAGAAGAAGCTCCGTCCGTCTTTTCAACTCCGACGGGATGGAGACTGGAGAGATTCCCCTCAGCCGCTGGCGTGGACGGGAGTCAACTGCGGAGGACCCTTGGTCATGGGTTGATTCTTCTTTCTTTCCCATGACGAAGAAAAGAGCGGATAATAAGTTAATAACTAAAGGCAAAATTCACTTTCATAGCCATAACTTTGCACTTTGTGACAATAATAGCCATTTTTTGAGAAATACACTAACATAGTCATTCCGTCCATAACTTTAACGGAATTAGTATGGATGCTAACTAGACTGACATTTTTTTGATGATGTGGCATTTTTTTGTCAAAACAATACTAGGTGGGAATAACTATTTTCTTATTTTAATTAAATGATAAAACAAATAAATAAATAAAACAAAACAACATCACTCTCTTCCCCGTGAAATCCCCTCCTTGTCCTTCCCATGTTTTCTCTTTCTGGTTTCTTCCTCTCCGCCATCGATAAACTCGGAGGAGGAGGAGCCAACCAACCACCTCCAATGGCAGCAGCAGCCAAACTCCACCCCCAATTGAAGTTATGATGTCCCAAAACCACTCCTTTTGACACTCGGTTCATCTTGAGGAGTACTAAATCGTCTAGGGAATCTAATTGGGATTCTGAGATTCGTTCGATTTCTTCGGATTTGTTACAGTCGAGAACTGAATGCGAAGCGGTGGATCCCGAAGGATCGATGGCGGTGGGCCGAGGAGGTGGAGCGCCATCCCGGCGACCCCGCAGCCGGTGCCTAGCTCCATTGCTCCGCGGTGCTTAGAGCCGATATCCACGAGGGAAGGGTTTGGGCGGTGGGTTAGACTCCGATCTGGAGCTCGATCACCGACGAGTTTGCCATCTTCATTTTTAGTTTTTAGTCTTTCTTCCGATGCTGTTGGAGAATCATGAGATTGGGAAACATGGCTTGAAAAGCTCTATGGAGAATTAGGATTTATTTGGCAAAGGGTCATTCTTTTGCCGGCGGCGGTAGGGAGTTATTCATGAACATTTTTTTATTAAAATAAATTAATGAATTTTTTAATGAAAATGTGATGTGGCGTCTAGGTGGCATGGTGTGTAGGGATGGCAATTTCGACCTGACCCGTTTTACCCGACCTGTTTGGTCTGTCTTGGGGCAGGTCCGACCCGCCCCATAGGCGGGGCGGGGCGGGCATGGGTACTCTCATCGACCCGACCTGCCCTGACCCGCCCCATTCTTGACCCGTTCTTACCTAAATTACATGTAATTTTAGTCAAATTACTTAGGATTTTCCTTTTATTACATCACATTTTAGCTATAACAAAGTTGTAAATTAGTGAAAACCTCAATTTTTCCAATAATATAACTACATTTATCATAACATGGTTTTTTTTCTTGGTCTTATAATGAAATGAACTAATATTTTTAATGTTTTCCATATAAATAGCATACCCATTGGGTCGACCTGCCCCGACCCGCGACCCATAATAGTTTACCCGACCTGGACCCGACCTGCCACGGGGCGGGTATGGGTAGCACGATACCCGCCCCGGACCTGCGCCATTGTCATTCCTAATGGTGTGTCTTGCTCGAGCTGACGTGTGAGCTGACGTGGATGTCACTCAGTGTAAAGTTCACCTTACTAACGGAGTCACTGACGGTGTTAAAGTATTTAACGGAAATGGCTAAATTTGTCAAACTATTTTTCAAAATATGGCTATATATGTGTATTTTTCAAAACTTGACTATATTTGTCAAAAACGTAAAAGTTATGGCTATCCAATTGTATTTTGCCATAAATAAATAAATAAATAAGTCAACTGTCCACAAAAGCGGCGGGTTGTGATTACTGATTAGTTTCGCTGTATAGCCGTCCCTCCATTAATTAATTAGGGTTAGTGATATTTAATTAGTAATTACAGTTGCAACTTACTCTGCCAAACAGAGCCCTCAAGTTGTGTGCTTACGTGAGGCCAATTCTTCCCAAATTCAACATGAGCATAACGGACGTCTGTCTTGGTAACGAGAAACCAAAATTCACCATTTAGAATTCCGAAATCATCAGTAACAAAAGAAGAAAAACTATATGTCACATAGAAGGTTACAAAAGTAAAAACATCATATTAGATATACGTTAACACCCCCGCCCGGCCCAGTTTTCCCAGCCCAAGCCCACTGAAACTCAGTCTCCTCTCTCTCTCTACACGAAATCAAACTAAATAACTAATCATCTCGAAACATATTGCATGAACTCGCGGTCCGCTTCAATCGCGGCCATCGTCTCCGGCGCCAAAACGATCTCCAGATCCACGGTCCCGCCGCCTTCCCTCCCGGGAAAAGCCGACATCTTGCCGTCGAACTTGTTCGCCTTCCCGCTCCTCACCGCCAGCGGCCGGCCCCACCCGAAATCATTGTCGTACATCGGGAACCGCGGCGAGCTCCCCATCGTCATCGACGCCCCGTCCAGGTTCCCCAGCGGGAAGCACCGCGGGCTCGCCTCCCAATCCTTCACCACGCTCCTCACCTTCGCGTCGTCGTACGCGTTCACGCTCTCGTTCAGCCGCTCCGCCAGCCACCGCAGCCCCCGCGACGCCACGTCCCCCGCCGTCGCGTGGCTCGGGATGCTCTGGATCGCGTTCCCGAAGTACATCGGGTCCATCTTGGGCTCCACCCTGTGGCGGCAGTTCACCGCCATCCGAAACGTCGTCGTTTTGGTCGGACTCAAATTCCTCGCACGTGTCACCGCGCGCCACACCAGCGCGCACAAGGACTGAAACGAAGAAATCTCCTTCTCCTCCAATACGACGCCGTTCGACAGCAGCTTCTTCTGCTGGTTCGAATTTGAATAATAGAACGGGTCGTTGCTCTGCTTCCCCATCATCTCCACCGGGTCGAACCCGTACCCGACCCCGACCCCAACCCACCCGGCGTTGTCCTTCTTCTCGTTGACAACCGCTTTCAGCTTAAGAACCGCTTCACGACTGAATTTAAAAATCCGCTCGCTAAACGGCGCAGTTTCGTCGAAGGTGACACGCGGCCCGCCGCGAGGGAGTTTGAGGACGGCGGAGGACATGAGAGGATTGTCGCCGTGGCGGGTGAAGTCGGGTAAGCAGGGGATCCGCTTCACTCCGCGGGCGACCCGGGCGAATGCGTTGTAGAAATTCCAGAAGGAAGTACCGTCGCAGACGGCGTGATTGACGGAGCAGCCGATGAAGACGGCGCCGTCGGCGAGCTCGGTGACCTGTACGGCGAGGAGGGGGAGGGTGTGGCCGTGGTAGCTGACGGTGCGGTCGTGGGAGAAGAACCCGTTGACGAAGTCGGGCGTCCGACCCGACCCGAGGATGTGGGTGGCGGAGATGCGGGGGGCGGAGGCGTGGATGAAATCGGCGCCGGCGTCGTTGCAGGTGATGTAGACGTGGCCGGTTTTGGGGTCGGTGGAGAGGCGGCCGGCGAGGGGAGGGAAGAGGGAGAGGGTGTGGGCGAGGGAGGATTGGAGGAGGAGGAGGAGGGAGGCGGAGGAGGAGGGAGAGGGACGGGAGAAGAGGGCGCCCTTTTGGATGTAGTGGCAGGAGAGCATGGGGAGGTCGGAGGCGGAGAGCTTGAGGTCGGGGATGGTGGAGGGCTGGTCGGGGACGACGGTACGTTTGGAGAGGAGTGTGACGGGTGAGGTTGATGATGAATTGAGTGGAGCGGCAGGCATTTTTGGATAATGGTGGAATTGGATTGGATTGTTTTTGTTTTTGGGTTTGTTTCTCCCTCTCGGTGTGGAATTTTGGGGCAGAGTAGAGAGAGAGAAGTGAGGATGATGATGAGAGGTGAGGAAATTGGGACAAGTGGAGAGGGGTATTTATAGGGTGGGGAAATTGGGATTCATGAACCTTTGCTGAGGTGGCAATTTGTTGTTTTCTGTTCTTTCTTTAATGAGATGATGAAGTCGTGTGAGGATTTTTTATTTATTTATTTTGTCAATTATTATTATTACTTGTTATTTCCAACAATTGGGGTTTTCTTTTTTTATATTATGTGGATATTTGTTGGGTCTAGTATTAACCCGCCTAATACGGCCCAAGCCCACCACAAAGCGTCTCACCTTGAGCCCAAGCCCATTCTAGGGTCCAGTACACCGGGGGGCGTCCATCACCGGGAGGCGTCCAGCCTACCCGGGGGCGTCCACCACCGGGAGGCGTCCATTCACCGGAAGGCGTCCATCGACGGAAGGCGTCCACCGGGAGGCGTCCATTCACCGGAAGGCGTCCACCACCGGGAGGCGTCCATCGACGGAAGGCGTCCACCACCGGGAGGCGTCCAATGGATGCCTCCGACTCCTATATAAGGAGGCCAGACCCTCCAAGCAAAGGACTTCTCTCCCTCCCCTCACTTTACCACTTATGGTTCTCTCTCTAAACCCTAGCTCTCTCTACATTTCTCTCTACACTCTATCATATACCTATTCTAACTTGGGCGTCGGAGTGTAGATCACGGGGGCCGCCCCCGACTCTCCACAGGTTTCTTCCACTCTCGAGGAGATCAGACGAGGGAGTCCGGATCAAGGTTCCACACTAATCCCCCGGTACTAATCCGGGTCAAACATTTTGGCGCCCACCGTGGGGCCTGATTTGGTACTCTTCTGGTTTGGTATCTGAAGGAGGAGAGGAAATCGATTCTTTCTCTACTAATTACCACTGACGGCTCCGACCGCAAAATCCCATCAGAGGATTGAAAGAAATCAGTCTCACTTCTCCAACTACAAGCTCCAAGTAGCGCTCGTCGCCATCCCCAAACCCAATCTGCAATCTACAGCGAAAAAAAAAAAAAAATTCCAGATTCCGGCGATGTAGCCGACCGAAATTGCGAGAGCCGCCGGAGCTCTGCCAACAAAAGGGGAAACCGACAGAGCGACGGTAAAAAAAAAAAAAAAAAAAGGGGGTCCTGTCACATCGTCATCTCTCTGAAAGCTTTCTATGGAAAAACAGCTTTTTCTGAAGAAAAAAACAAAAAAAACTCTGCTACAGTGGGGGCCTGCAAAAAGAAAGAAGAGACAGCTGTGTCTGACATGCTTTTTCTCCCTCCCATGAGCGACAGCCGACAAGTGAAGGCGAAGAAAAGGGAAAAAGGAAGGCAGCCCGCTTTCCAAACACCTCGAACATAGAGCCTACACTTGGCCCAGTATTTCATGAGGAAACGCCACCGAAGCCCAATACGCGCGGCCCGTAATGCGGTCCGCTCCGCTCCGGTACACCAAGCACACGTCCAGACCAGCCCACGCCTCCGACGGCCCAATCGCCCTCCAACTCGGGCCTCCCATCCGGCCCGTGCGGCCCACCTTCCATTCCTGCCCAGCACGGTTCTACGTGCTTGAACCGCCAAGAAAGCCCTAGCCGCCAAATCAAGGCGAATTCTCAGCCCACCTGCATTTGGCCCGCTTCAGAGCATGATCCGCCGGCCCGCCTTGCAATTTAAGCCCAGAATGCCAGCGCCTCATCAATCTGAATAAGTCCAACTCAAAAAGAAATCAAGAAATGCTTTGAACGTGATTCGAACCTGCATTCAATCTCCAACACACAAGGCCGCTCACCAGTTCGCTACAAGGACGCATTGTGGAATTATTTTACAACACCGAGTATTCAATGCTTGCCGCCACGGAAGCCCGTGACGCTTTTTGGTCACTACATGGGTCGCGTTTCATAAAGGCCCACAATTCATCACAACTCGACTTCAGACTAGCCCGCGTCTTCTGGGCCGCCTTTCAACAGCAAACTCGTTTCACTGAACTTGAGTCGAGCCGTTTCACACCCGTTTCTTGAACCGCATCGAGTCAGTCCAGCCCACGGGATTCAATTACAAAAAGAAAAAGACGAAACAAACCGCCGCAGCCAGGCTTCGAACCAGCGACCTACCTTTAATTGGCAAAGCTATCAACCAGTATGCTACAGAGCGCCAATGTTCTCTTCTTTGCAGCGTCCCCTATCCAAAGCGTTTCCCAGCTGTCTTCTACAACTTATTCTCAAGCTAAGCACTTCCTTCTAAAATATATTCAAATACTATGCCATGAAGACCGCCACTAATATCATACTATGATATTTCTCACTACATCCTATGCTATGACATATTTCACGCATGCTATACTTTTGTTTGTGCTCTAAAAATATGGAGCACTAGTCACTCACATCTTTCGCAGATATAAAACCGCATCCCGCTTCCTGAGCAATGCTTCCACTCTACGTAGAAGCCCGAAACCGCCTCCCAGTAGGCGCGCCATCGGTATAGTTAACACGATCCCGCCTCCCAGCAGGTGTGGCATCTTCAAAACACAAACGCCGCCTTGAGTTAAAACTCTCAAGTCGTGGGGGCCGCCCTCCCTAGCACATAGCTAACGCCTAATATTCAGCCAACAACTCACGCTTAACATGCACACAAGCTCATGCCCATCTCGCGGTCCAACAGCTTAACGCATTCAGCTCACAGTTATGGCCTACATATTAGCACGCTCGGCAATGGGCTAGTGGGGAAATCTCAAACGACTTGAGAGCTCTAACTCAAGACATCGAATGCTAAGCAAAGAAGCAAAGACGATGGCCGCACAAGGGGCAAACCGCATCGTTTGGACCCGCAAGGGTCCAGTCCACTCGTGGGCGCCCATCACCGGAGGCGTCCATCACCGAGAGGCGTCTCAACCATCGAGAGGCGTCCATCAACAAGCAATGGCCGCACAAGGGGCAAAGCCGCACAAGGGGCAAAACCGCATCGTGCGGACTCGCAAGTAAGGCAAGTTAATACACCTTAACGCATTAATTTACTCCTTCCATTCTTACAGAATACAAGAAGCAAAGGGGCAAATGTTGGGTCTAGTATTAACCCGCCTAATACGGCCCAAGCCCACCACAAAGCGTCTCACCTTGAGCCCAAGCCCATTCTAGGGTCCAGTACACCGGGGGGCGTCCATCACCGGGAGGCGTCCAGCCTACCCGGGGGCGTCCACCACCGGGAGGCGTCCATTCACCGGAAGGCGTCCATCGACGGAAGGCGTCCACCGGGAGGCGTCCATTCACCGGAAGGCGTCCACCACCGGGAGGCGTCCATCGACGGAAGGCGTCCACCACCGGGAGGCGTCCAATGGATGCCTCCGACTCCTATATAAGGAGGCCAGACCCTCCAAGCAAAGGACTTCTCTCCCTCCCCTCACTTTACCACTTATGGTTCTCTCTCTAAACCCTAGCTCTCTCTACATTTCTCTCTACACTCTATCATATACCTATTCTAACTTGGGCGTCGGAGTGTAGATCACGGGGGCCGCCCCCGACTCTCCACAGGTTTCTTCCACTCTCGAGGAGATCAGACGAGGGAGTCCGGATCAAGGTTCCACACTAATCCCCCGGTACTAATCCGGGTCAAACAATATTATTTATAAAAAAAACTCCCACTGTTATAATGGTTCTCTTCTGGCGACTTGCTTAAAAGAAACTAGTGATTGTCCTTCTTGGAATTGTCGATGAAATCGTATTGGAGACCATATTGAAAAAGTCGGCAGTAAGGTATTAATTCATGATTTAATTGTAATTTAACAGTTATTATCATTAAATATCGCTTATCGATTTAGGCTCCGATATTAATATCTTGTGGTTGAGTCGCCGATACGATACGATTTCAAGGATCATGATTCTAGGCTCTAGGGGATTTTTGGTAACTCGTACATAAGACTTATCAGGAAAGGTGCATTGCACACACAGTCAAACCACGCTCCCGGGCAAATGAGTCTATATGCTGCAAAGTTCGGGCCAGAATGTAAATATCTCAAACCACGGACCAAAGTTGATTATATGATCATAATTGGGGCCAAAATAAGGTATTAACCCTAACAAATAAGTGATGGCCTTCTTTTCAAGTCGAGGTGTTATAAGTGCCGACGAACTGAATTTGCACATATGTACATTGATTTCACATTTATTGTTCTGTATAGCTGTATTTTCCGGGTAACTCATTGTATGGTGATGTTTGTAAACAGAGCTCAAAGTTTGATATAAGTGTTTGGGATATACAAATGTTATATGAAATTTATTTACATATTACCGAATTCTGAGTTATTTTGTTGAGATTGGTATTATATCAAAATATTAAGAAATACAGAAATTTACAACTAATAAATATATCCAACAACCTTTAGTATGTCCTCACTCTTTGACAACTCGCAAACCCCCCATCAAACCCCAGTTTTCCTTTCCCCTTTTCCTTTTTCTAGCTAGCTCATTCTCATATCTCACTCGACTTATTATTTTCAGGACACAAAAAACTCGCACTCTCATTAGTTGTTTCTCAACATTCAATTCATCAAATTAAAGATTATTAGTGATAAAATATCAAAATATCACCATTTCCTCCCTTCTTACATATGCCTTCGCTCTAGGCGAACTCAATATCATTTGCCTAGTTTTTTTAGCCTAGATAAGAACTTGTAACGAATCCAATCGATAAGACTTGACCAAATCCATTCAAAAGGGGACATTATTTAGTTTTTATTATACTTTTTTCAACTCGATTTCTCATCGCCAAAATTCTCAATCATAAAATTAACCTACAAGCTAGCCTACAACATATAATAATCTTTGGATTATGAGTGTTCTAACCATTTTTTATTTATATGCTTAATTATTAGTTGCAAAAGTAATTATTTGGTATTCGAGAATACTAATTCCGTGTCAAAAT